TTTCCAGCAAACTCACCCCAAGGTCAGACTGTGCAATATTCTGAGAAATTACATAAAGCTTTAGAGCTCCATCTTAAACTCTAAAGGCCTCACTTAGAGGAATAAATGTCACAGGTTAGAACAGAATCAATAGAGGGGAAAAACTAAACCAAAATGACTTGTTTAGAAAGATTGGAGGATAAAATAACTCCTCTCTAAGAAAAAGAATGTGACAGCACAACTTAGTGTCACCCTCTGAGGTCAAAAGGCTATCAACCTGGATTTTTTAACTTAGATTCAACAATCAAAGAAAGTTTAAATCCCTGAAAATTTGATACAAAAAACTAATGATAACTAGATATGGTATAGCGATAATATAACGACCCCCGCATGCACAAATGCACCAGAACTCAGAAGTTTTTATTCCTAATAAATATCATGATATTAGGTGCATCCCAAAATTGTAGTGGGTTGGGTGGGTGTAATTTTTTTGGAGGGGGAGGGGGTGGATAGCCCCTCATCAGAGCTAAACAACCAAAGAAATCTGAAGCTCCTYTGTTTGACAGTTTCTGAGCAATAACCATTTTTGTATGTCCAGATACCCGTTTTTCAGATAAACTGGGTATCCGGGGGGTGGGGGGCACTGATTGGTGGGCCTGATGGATAGAGCTTCATCAGAGCTAAACAACAAAAGAAATTGGAAGCTACTATGTTGATCAGTTTCTGAGTTAAAAGCATTTTTTCGTGTCCAGATACCCCCTCTTTGAAAAAAGCCCCCTCCTCAAATATGGGGTCTACCATAAAACCGTTGGCTGGTGCAGTGTATGTCAGACTCATCTACAGTTCTGCCAAATTTCATGTTGATTGGTGCAGCCATTTTTGTGCTACGGTTGACCAAAAATCACTGAAAAATTAAAAATAAAAACAATTTAAAATTAAAATGAACAGTATGAAAACAATAAGACTCCTGCTCACACTTTGTGTGCAGGGGTCGTAATAAGACTGTTACTTATCATCTTGAATACCTAAAGACCTCTGAAAACATTATAAAGAACTTGCATTTGCTCCATCCTCTTCTCCTGCAGACGTTCCTAAGATCAGCCAGTACTTCCTGTAACTTCCAAAATAAAACTCTTGCTTGCCTGTCATTGTAGTWTATTGCTTCTGTTTATTTTTTGGGACTTTATCATTTACTCAGCACAAAACTGTTTGCAATAAACATGGCCTCCAATTTTATGTTTACAAAAGCAACAGTAACACACATGTGAGATGAATAAACATCAAATTATTTGGCTAAAAGGAACTTTCCTTTTAGAACTGTGTAATATTCTGAGAAATTACATAAAGCTCAAGAGCTCCATCTTAAACTCTAAAGGCCTCACTTAGAGGAATAAATGTCACAGGTCAAAAAAGAATCAATAGAGGGGAAAATAACTAAACCAAAATGACTTGTTTAGAAAGATTGGAGGATAAAATAACTCCTCTCTAAGAAAAAGAATGTGACAGACCAACTTAGTGTCACCCTCTGAGGTCAAAAG